CCTTCCTTCCTTCCTGTAGGACAGCCGCTGTCACAGTCTTTGTCTCTTTAAAGAAACATTTCACTGAGGTGAGTGACAACAGAAAACAGTTCATCTGCAGAACTTGATGAGCCTGGAGATAAGTATAGCCCTTGAAGTGATCGCCACAGAGGCCGTGTAACCTAGCTGCCCTGTCCAGATGACCCCTTACTCTGGCTCTTCAGTGAGCGCCTGCCAACACTTGGGTAAGGTTCCCCTTTTCAGTGAGCACCCTGCTGTTTGGGCTTCTCCGGGGCTCATCCAGCTCACAATCTGAAATTTTGTACCCCTCAACCAGCATCTCCTCATGTTCCCTGCTTCCCTCACCCTGGTAACAGCCCTCTCACCTACTGTTTCTGTGAATTTGGCTGCTTCCAATTTCACCTGTAAGGGCGTCAGGGATAGTTCTCCTGCCGTGTCTGGTTTATTTCACTCAGCATAGTGACCTCCAAATTTATCACGCTGTTGTAACTGAAAGAATTTCCTTCCTTTGAAAGTTGAATAGCATCCCATTATATTCACGTATCATGTACTATGTTATACACAGATGTATGCGTGTCGCATTACCCTATCCTTCCACTGCCCATACATAACCTGGGTACTTCCATGTCTTTGTTATTGTGAGTAATGGTGCAATTAGCAGTGCAGTTCAAACAGGAAACTAAAATCGTGGACTATAGATATTTCTACAGGATCCCAACTTCAGTTCCTCTGGATATATCTCAGGAGAGAGATTGATTGCTGGATCCTGTAATGGTAGAGGAACCTCCTAACCACTTTCAATAGATACAGCACCAATTTACATTTAAGCTAGTAGTACAAAAGGTTCCTCTGCATCTGTATCTATATTTATTTTTCCTCTAATAGCAGAGTTATGGCTTATGTTTAGATGACCCCCCAAAGCCTTGTGCTGTCAAAGCTAGGGCTTTTTCAGAAGAGACAGTCTAGGGTGTGTGAAGCTGTGATTGATTCATAGTGCAATGCTGCGCCCAAAGGCACTAAGATTAAGGGTGTGAGTGCTACCTGCCCTAAGTACGATGGATAAAATATAAAGGGTCATAAGAACTGTGGTTATCTCTTGCTTACTTCTGCTTTGTGCCTTCTGCCTCCCATGAACTGTTTCTTCTCTTGGATGCCTGTCTGCCTTGCCACACTACCATGGAGCCAGCTGATCATGGATTGAAACCTCTACAAACCGTGAGATAAATAAAAGTTTCCTCCTTTAACTTGGGGTGTTGGTTATTTTATTTCAGCCACAAGAGAAAGGCAACTAAGGCAGAAATTTGGTACCAGAGATGTGTGGTTATCGCTATGACTCCTGACCATGTGGTTTAGGTGCTTTTGAAGCTAATTTGTGGAAAGAAGCTGAAAAGTTTTGGGCATGAAAGCTGAAAAAGTAGCCCTGGAATGCTTAGGCTACTTCTGGCAGATTCTGGTCAGAGCTCAGAACACCAGACTGCTGATAGAAATGATGCTGGTAAAGACCAGACCTGGGAGGTTTCTGCTGGAAAGGGTTGCATTGGCTGTTGGCTTCCAGACAATGTGTTATGTCTTGATAGGAAGTTTGCCTACCTTTTGCTTGTGTCCAGAGACTTTGGTTGAGATTGAGATTAAGGGCAGTTGACTAATCAAACTTGCAGAAGAAATTTCAAGACAGCCTAATGTTGAGCTATTGGGGGCCTTTAGCCAGATCTATGTTGAGAGTCAAATGCAAAGAGCCTAGCAGAATGATTCAAACTGCTGTGGCTTTGGCCAGAAAGGAATCCCTGGTAAAACTGGGTTGTAAAGATAGAGCAAAAGAGAACTCGATTGCTGAGAAGGGACACGAAAATAGAAAAAGGTGATCTAAGCACATAACAAGAACAAACAGGACTCCACCCTTTGGAGGACTGCAAAAATGAAAGAATTTGCTTTGAGAAGACAGCCCGAGGGTACCGTGTTCCAGAATACCAGCAGCACAGGGAAGTTGTTTCTTGGCATTTGGATCATAGATACTTGACTTCTACAGCTGAGAGAGAGAGAAGCCTGGCTATTGTTCCAGTTGGTGGCAGACCTTTGTGCACCACCTAAGTGAGTCTTGGGCAAATGCAGAATGCAAGAGTTGTGAGCTCAGAAAGGCTTCTACCAAACTTTCAGAAGGCCTGGGGGTTCAGGCAGAGTGCTCCTGAGAGGGCAGTGGGTGAAGCTCTGAGTGTGAAGCCAAAGGTGCAGTGGAGATCCCCAGAAGGTCATCTGTGGAAAATTGCAAGGTGGGAGCAGCTCGGACCCATGAGAGAAGTGTGAGAGCTAAGCAACCAGAAGTACGTAAGGGTAGGGTTTCTCAAGCACTTTGGAGTTTACAGCGTACCACGGACTGGCAGGGGTGCTGGGAGTGGGGCTGTGGGATTTTGGTCTCATTTTGTCTCCATTTCTTGCTGTGCCCCGTTTGTAACTTTTGAAATGGAAATTTCTGTCTTGGGCCACTGAATGTTGGAAGTGTTTAACTTTTTCTTTTGCACAGGGGCTTGCAGCTTAGAGTTTTCCTCCAACCTCAGAGGAGACCTCAGACTTGGACTTTTCAGCGGGGCTGAAGCTGTTGGGGATGTGGCAACTCTTAGAGATGAACTAAGTGACATTTGCATGACTCTTCGGTAGAAGTTATTATGTTCAGGGGCAGAATAGAATAACTTGTGTCTAGATGGTCCCTTTTCAAGCCTTATGCAGTCACTGGTGGGACTTTCTTAGAGGTAGATCTAGAGGGTGTGATTGGTTCATCGTGCAATGCTAGGGTTAAGCATGCTAGGATTACAGGTGGATGATTCCTAAACCAGTACACTGATTGGTTGGTACTGCCTAATCCCACTACCTTGGATACAGTACAAGGGACAGAAAGAGGTTTGTCTTGTCCCTGGATGCTCTGCTACCTTCTGCCCATCACGAACTCCTTCTCCTCTATGATGCTAGTCTGCCACGCCAATCTGACTCGGAGCTAGCTTGCTAACTGTGAGTTAATAAAGCTTTTACATAAAGGGCTAAGCATGAGTCTGTAGGTGGAGGTGGAATGTTATAGCTTGTGTTTATTTTATTTTATTGATACTGGGGATCAAACTCATGACCTCAGACTGACCAAGCAGGCACTTGTGCCACTGAGCTATGGCTTATTTAGATATCACCCCAAAGTCTCACGTAGTCATAAGTGAGGCTTTTTCAGAGATGGTGATATCTATGGTGTGTGAAGCTGTGACTGATTTATGGTGCAGTGCTAGGCTCAAGGGTGCTAGGATTAAGGGTATGAGTGCTCCTGCCCTGTGTGCCCCGGGAGTCTGAATTTTGTCCATGATTTTTTTACATCTATTGATATGGTCAGGTTATTTTTATCCTTCATTTTCTTAATGAGGTGCATCTTATTGATTTGTACGGCTGAACCATCTTCAAATCCCAGAAATATATCTAACTTGGTTATGGTGTCTCATCCTTTCAATATACGGATCTACTTGGTTCTCTAGTATTTTGTTGAGCTCATTTATTTCCAATTCTTCTCCTTTCTCTCCTTCTCCCTCTGTTCCTCCTCCTTCTCTTCCTCTACATGTACCAGGGATTTAACTCAGGCTTTGGCATTGAGCTACATTCTCAGCCCTTATTTTTTATTTTGATATGGGTTCTTGCTAAATTACTAAATTGCCCTGGCTGGGTTTGAACTCAAGATCCTCTTGCCTTACCGAGTGCTGGGATAACCAGATATGGGTCCCCATACCTAGCTTTTTTGTTGGAAGGTGTTTAAAAATTGTTGCTATCTTAATTAGCTGATTCGGTTTTCCTGTTTGCTATTGGTGTGTTCAGACTTTGTGTTTCTTCTCGATCCTGTCTTCATAGGTTTTATTTCTTTGTAATTTATCCATGTCTTCTAGATTATCTAATTTGTTGATGTTTCATTGATTATAATGTCCTCTTGTGCTTTTTTTACGTCTGTGGCATCAGTAGTAGTATCTTTTCTTCTATTTATGATTTTACTTATTTGAGTCTTATTCATTTTTTTTCTTATTTTAGTGAAGGATTTATCGATTTTATTTTTTTTTATAATTTTGTTTTTGCAGTACTTGGGATTGAACCCAGGTCCTTTGCACTGAGTGACATCCCCAGCCCTGTCTAGTTTTTATTTTGAGATAAGATCTTGCTAAGTTGATTGGTTAGAAGGAGCTCAACCTTGTAACCCTCATCCCCCCAGAGTCCTCCTGGGATTACAGGCCTGTTCCATCATGTCTGGCTCCCATTCAGAGAATAGAAAAAAAGCACTAACCTGAGCTTGATGGCAGGTGCCTGCAATCCCATCACTTGGGAGGCAGAGACAGAAGAACTTTAGAGTTCCAGGATAGCTTGAACTACTTAGCAAGACCCAGTGTCAAGAACAAAAAACAAACGAAGAAAAACTTGAATCAGAACACCAAGAGCAGCAGCACCAACTGAAACTGACCTCTTGGTTTAGCCCTTTTTTCTCCTAGAACTTTTCTACCTGTTTATTTTTGGCAGTACTGGGGATTGGACCCAGGATCTTTGCCCTAAGCCACATCCACAACCATCTTTCCATTTTGAGATAGGATCTTGCTAAATTTCCCAGTTACCCAGCCTGGGTTTGAATGTGCAAATCTCCTGCCTGGGCCTCTGGAGCGCTGGGATTATAGGTGTGTCTGCTATGCTGGTTTTCAGTTCGGTTTGTATTTCATGTATAAGTTTTTTCATTTTCCATTTGTTATTGATTTCTAGATTCATTTCATCATAGGAAAGATACTTGATATAACCTAAATCTTGTTAAGTTAGCAGTGACTTATTCTGTGGGCCGGTGTGTGCTCCACCTCACAGAAAGGCCGCGCGTTCTGCTCCTTGGTGAATGTTCCGCATCTATCTGCAGGCCCATGTGTTTCTCAGCTCTTGAGCCTACTCCTTGCTGACTGATTTTCCTCCCTCAAGGCTCTCCTCCGTTCTGTAAATTGGGTGCCGAGGTTTCCTGCTTGTGCCTTGCGGCCTATTTCTCAGGCAGCTCCGCCAACGATCACTCTTTATGTAGGTGCTCTGATGTCGGTGCACATGTATCTATGAGGATCACATCTTGCTGGTGAGCTGACTCTTAACATCTTTCCCGCTTGTGATAATCTTTCACCTAAATATTTTTTTTTTTTTCTTATAAGAACACGACATACTCTGTTGGGACTCCCATCTGCCTGGTAGTCTTTTCCCATCGCGTACTTCCAGCCCACGTATGTCTCCAAATCTGTGAGACTCTCCCTTGAACACCAACCCTGCACCCCATGCTTGGTGCCACGCATGGTAAGTACTCCCACAGGAGAACCTAGCAGTGTAAGGTACTGCCCTTCCAGGAGGATGAGCACAGCGGTTCTTAAACTCTAAGGCTGAATCCAAAGAAAAATTGTTGGTGCACATTTATGATTAGTTTCACAAATTAAAAATTTCTACAGTTAAGTGAATTTGAAGTAGGTGACAGAAAATATGTGTAGTTATTGGATTTTATAAAGGAGACAGCTCCCTGCTGTCTTTTCTACTTACCCACTGGGCTGTGACCTGGAGAAGTAGGAGGGTGTGGTTTCCACACTATTGTTGATGCCAGTGCCCTCCATCCAGGAGGAGAGGGCAGGTCTGGAAAGGGGAGTCCCCTTACCCCAGCCTCAGGACCTCTGCAGAGACTTGTCCTCCCCAGAAATGCCCTCTGAATCGCTGTAAAATAAAAAAGAATCATTCTTGTGCACGAATGTGGCTTTCTCCTGGGAACATGGGCAGTGCTTACGTATGCAAGACACTGGATGATTCAGGAAGATTAAAATAGCTTTCTTTGAAAGTTTGCAGACTGGCTCAGGGCTCTGGGAAATTTTAGTTCTGAAAATAGCAAGGCCTTCGCCAGTTAGTTCTAGTGGTACCCATGGCAGTGGAGGGCAGCAGCTGTGGAGGGAGGCCCGGAAGTCACTTTTCAATCCCTGCCGCTGAGGGGCGGTGGGCTTCTTGCTGTGGGCTGCCTAGCTGGGAACAGCCTGGCTCCCTCCTGAGGGGTGGGCCCGCGGGACTCAGAGGACCCCCTGCTTCCCGTCTGAGAGGGGACCATGTTAACAGTGTAGAGCAGGGCTGTCACATACACGATGTACTAGTGGTCTCAGCCCAAACTTTAGGAAAGCCTAATGCTGTGAAAATAGACGTGGGCCTTTGCTGCGGGCTGTCCTCACAGCTTGATGAACCCCAAAACCCTCCCCAGCAGAGAGGCCCAGGAGACACGGTGTCCCGTCCCTCCAGCCCTGTTGTGTCACTCAGGAATAACTTGGAATGACCTAAGGATGCAGGAGTCAAGACAGCGGCTCATGTCCCGAGCTGCTTCTGATCGGTGTGTGCGTTTGTATATGCGCATATGTGTGCGTGTGCATGTATATATATGTATATGCATGTATGTATATGTGTGTATGCATGTGTGCATGTGTGTATGTGCACGAGTGCATGCCTGTATGTGTGCATGTGGACGTATATATGTGCGTGTGTGTACCCAGAGTACACGGGCCCTTCAGGGCAGGTGGCAGGGGCCGCCAGGTGGGAGGACAAGCTGCAGGCTCCCACGCGCTCCTGAGTGCTTTGCTCTAAAACATGAATCCCCATCGGAAGCTTCTTCCTTGCCAGAGACCGAGCCCAGGGACGGGGTGTGCCCGGCAGCATCTGTGGCGCAAGGGCCGCCCCCTCGCCTCCCCTTGCGAGGCCTGGGGGCTGCTGGACCCAGGGCCGTCCTGTCCCCACCCCAGTCCCCGACCGCGGCCCCGTCCCCACCCCGGCCCTGGCCCTGTCTGCAGGGCTGCCGAGGTCCCAGCTCTGTCCGCAGAGCAGAGGCCCGGCGACCTCGGTAGGGGGCGCCGAGCCCCGCGCGGCTGGGAGACAGCGCCGCCTGCTGTGCGCAGCGTGGGCTCCGGTGGGCGCCGCCGGGCGCCTGGGCTGGGCCGGCCGGGAGGGTGCGGTCCCGCCTCCCCCACGGCTGCAGAATCCCCGGGGGCGCACACTGCATGAGAACGGCTTCACCTGGAAAACGCAGCCTTGCTTTGCGTGTCCATTGCTGCCCTGGGCTATGAACAGAAGCGCGATTTTTATCAGGAATTGTTTTAAATCGCTTGGCCCTATCTCACGCATGTTCCCCGGGCAGCGTCACATGTGTGCACTGAGCGACCGAAGACGATGCGTTCCTCAGCGAAATTACGCAGCAATCGCTTACTGGCACACCCACTTCAAAAAATTTTATGTTAGAAAACAATTCTCGTAAAAAAAAAAATCCTTCCTCCCAAACTAGTATTCAATAGAAAGCAAGTGAGAGGCGTGGACGTGCCCTCCGGCCAGGTCTCAGGGTTCGCACACGCTGGAGGGGATCAGGAGAGAAATCAGTCGCAGGCAGGAGGTGGGGACAGGCGGAATCCCTCCAGGGGGCAGGCGGAATCCCTCCAAATTCAGGAAGAGCCACGGCGCGCAGGGGAGGACGACGGTGCCCACCCGCGCAGGTGTCGTGCAGAGGGGGCAGATGCCTGGTGCAGGAGCCTCAGGGCGTGAGAGCTGACTGGCACAGCCTGGACCCCCTTCTGCGAGCCCAGGAGGCCCCGTGGCGTTCCCAGCCATTGGTGGCAAACGAACTAAAGCATTTGGTAAAGTAGTGTATTTGGTGAGTTGGACATGCACATGTAGGTATCACCTCATTACACCTGCTGCTGGAGAAGCATTCCCATCCGGAGCTAGTGTGTATGTGTGTGTGTGTGTGTGTGTGGGTGGGTGGGTGGGTGGGGGCTCTGATGTGCATGGGGGGAAGCATTCCGGCTCTGGGGATTCTGTGAGTGCCCACCACGGGGCAGCTGGAAGCTTGATATCCTGATGGCCTGATAGCATGTTAGTTGTCACTGGCTGCTGAGAACGTCACTGGCATTCTGAATGTGTAATTCATGGGGATCATGAGCTCATTTCCCTTAAAACCTGTGACTTTCCGCGGATGATTTGTTGTCATAAAACTAAGTTTAACTTGACATCCTCCAGGAGGACCAGTGACGGGTTCTGTGCGGGATAAGTGGCTGCCATGGCAACGTCTGGCCCACATTCTGGTCCAGCAGAGCTTTCACTGAACACACGTTCTGGCTGCTGCTTGCAAAGAGAGACTGTGGCAGCTGATTTTGATAAGGAAGAGCCACCGTTCAGGCATTGAAAAACAACACTTCATAGAACCCAAGGTTGGACTGTAGTCGTTCACGCCAGAGGAAGCATCTCTTGGTCCCCCCACTCTGTTTGGAGTTGATGTATTACCACATCGTGGCAGTGCGATGTGTGCATTTACTCAGGTGAATTTAGTGGGAAATATATTTTAGTGACAAGCACCAAGGTTTCATAGAGATTGAGAATAATATGTCAAATTGGCCTAGAGACTAACAGCATTTAGCATTCACCAATACAAAAAGCGTTCTTTTAAATTCTCCAAGGAACCTCAGTGTCTCATCTGTCATTTTTAGTTGAGGCAATAAAATCCTGTTTGTTTGCAAAAAGGTCACACAGGCCCCACCCAGGGCCTCTACCCTCCTCACCCCGCCCTGCACGACCTGCTGACACCCTTCCCAGGCCTGCATGGGGTTGGCAGGTGCCCTGAGCTGGGTTTGGTTTCACCCCTAAGAGTCTAGCTTCGCTTTGCTGTGTACCATTCATAGGTGTCTACAGATCTTATCTGAATTAATCAAATATAAAGTAATTCAAAACCATCACTGTTTTTTCTTTTTCTTGTTAAGGTGCATCTTTGGTGTGTGTGTGTGTGTCTGTGTGGTACTGGGGACTGTAACTGTCACCTCTCATTGAACTGCAGTCTCCTCCCTGGCCTTTTGCTTTTCTTTTCTGGATTTTTTTTGAGACAGAGTTTTCCTATGTAGGTTGGGCTGGCCTTGAATTCACTATGCAGCACAAGTGGATCCTCCTCCCTCAGCCTCCTGAGTGCTGGGACTACAGACTTGTGCCACCATACCTGGCTCTAGATGCATTTTTTTAAAAATGTGGAACAACTTTAAAAAATAGAGAACATTTCATGAATTTGAGGATCATCGTTGGCTGCAGGCCATCCTAACTTCTTTGTACCATTGCAAGTTTAATCTGTGTACTCCTGGAGCAAGCCCTGGGTGCAGCTTCTCAACTAAAGACACTAAAACACAGGCTGGGCTGAGATGCAGTGGTGTTTGCCTGGCACCTGCACAGCTCTGAATCCATCACCAGTACAAGAATCACCCTGGCCTGGCTCCCAAGTGTCAAACCCTTGCCTGGAAAGGACTTAGCTTCTCATTTTAGATACAAACCCTGTCTTGACAGCACGTTAAAAGGTTTAAAGGTTGAATTTTCCTGTGCTTCATAACTGAAGGCCATTTTTGCTAGTGATTCTGTGACAAGTGAGTTACCACAGCCATGGCGTCCAGTTGTCCATGATGGCAAATGTTTCAATCCAATGGGCATCCGGGCACCTGTGGGTGGAGGTGACAGCTTCCAGGGTAGCACCCAGAGAGCTGAAAGATGCTGTGGGAGCTGGATGTGTGGCATCACATGTACAGGTGGGTCATGTGTGGTTTCAGCATCTGTCCCTGGAGAAGGGCTGTCTGGAAGGGCTCTTCCGGGATCTGGGAACAACTCCAATGCTGTCCCTACCTACATAGGCAGGTCAAATCTCTCTCGCCCTGAGAGGACCAGATCAGTGCCACCTGTGTGGTTCTGTGGGCCTTGAAGACACCACTTTGGGGTGTCCCAGTCCTGGGGACAGCTGCGGTGACAGCAGCAGCCTGCCACTTGCATTCATTCCATGCTCGGGATGGGTCAGGGCCAGAGCCAGGTGCCTGCTGAACATGTCTTCGTGAAACCTTTATCAGAATGTACGGTTACAGTTTTCCTATTTGTACTCATCTGCCATGTCTTCTTCGGGGCTGGAGTCAGACAAGGATGTTCTCAGCTCCCACGAACTGTTCTTAGGCCCTCCATGTATGGCCCCTCTGTTCGGACCACCCAGAATCTGCTTCTCCAGAAACCCACCCTGCCCTTCAACTGCCTGTTCTGTTGTCAACTGGAGAAAACTTTTTAAGGGCAGATGTAGAAAATCCTCCTTTGGATGAGCTCAAAGTAAACTAAAAACTTTTGAGACAGGGTCCTGCTATGGAGTTCAGGCTGGCCTTGAAGTCTGTGCAGCCCAGACTAACTCTCTAAACTCCTCCTCTCTTGGTACCTCTGAAGTACCAAGATTTCAGATGTGCACCACTACACCCACCAAAATGAACTAATTTAGCATCTTAATTATCCCACAAAGTCCCTCTTGCCAGAGAAGGTGATATAAGTATGTCTTGATACTTCAAGATGCCTGAAGGCTGGAGCAGGCAGCCTGGGGCATTCTGGATTTTGCACGCATAGGCGCGGGCCCTTTCAGGTGACTGTGAATTTGCACTTCGTGGTAGAGCTAGAAAGCCTTGTCATCCACTGGAGAGCCCACCAAGGCTTTGACGTTGTTTCTTTTGCCTCCTCTTAGAACATTAGCCGGGTTTCTCACTGCTCGGAAAACTTATTTTAGTGATATTTCCCCTTTCTTCCTGGTAGATGGTCTAGACCCCATTTCTTTGAACTAGTGGGGCTCCCTCCTGCACCCCACTGTGGAGCGGGGGGAAAAGCACCCTTTCTATATTTGTGCAGAGTCACGTGTTTTTGATGAGGTGAGTCGGGTTTCCACAAAGCTGCTCCTTGCAGCTTCTGAGACTTTCCAACCCTGTTTTTCTTATCAGAAGCCTACTGTCCTCTGTGGTCACCTGTGGCGTTGACTTTTGAGCACAATAGTGAACGATTCACCTGTGTTCAGCCTTCTATTATTGCAGGCTTGCAGGGAAAACCAGCATCTCAGAAAAGAACTGGACAGGAAGGATTTTTCCATGTGTGGGGTATTTCAGAGCAGGGGTGATTGAAACATTGAACAACCACCGAAAATAAAATCATACGGTTATGATGCTCCTACAAAGGCTCAGAGGTGGGGCTTTTGAAAGATGATTAGATTACAGGGTGCTAAATCCTAATCCACTGATCAATGCATAGCTGAATGTGCTGTTGGGATGTGGGGCTGGTTGGGGGAAGTGGGTCACTTTTAAGGTGTCTTAGCTAGTTTTCTTATTGTGAGATAAATACCCGACACCGGCAAGTTGAAGAAGAAAAACTTTATTTCAGCTTACAGTTTGTAGAGATTTCAGCCCACAGGCAGCTGGCTCCCAGGCAAGTCGGCATGACAGAGGGGGTTGTAGAGGAGAGAAGTTTCATGGCCCAGCAGGCAGGAGGCAGCAGGCAGCAGGCAGCAGGCAGCAGCAGCAGCCCACCGTGCCCTGTTATTCCATCCAGGCTGTATGTCCTTCAGGCCGTACCACCTGCACATGGCTTGGACCCTCTCATTATCCACATCGGCCCTATGCTAAACCCACTGGTGGATTAATTTAGGTCCACACATCCTTAATCTCAGCATTATGTGAACTAGATTCAACCAGCTCCAAACGCCCTACAGATGAATGGATGAGGCTTTGGGAAGAATGTAGATAAAAGCCACGACAGTGTGACTGCAAAGATGTATTCCCATCCCGCCCCTTCCTCTCTCTCCTGCTCCTCCTGCTGTCTCTGCCTCCCTGGCATCTGTGAGGGGAGCAGGTTTCTGCCCCGAGCCCTTCTGCATGATATCTCTCTGCCTTAGAGCCTGCAGAACATGAACTGAAACCTCAGAAACAGCCAAAATAAACCCCTCCTCTTCTAAACAGTGTGCCATGTATTTGGTCACAGCAATGAAAGAAAAGCTGACTAATACAACAGCTACAACTCTCTTGCTTCCCTCTCTGGACTCAGAGGCAGAGAGGGCAGGTCTGGGTGTAGGCACAGATTCACCAGTTAGACAAACACATAGCCATGGATGACTTGCCAGACCTCTCTGAAACCAAGACTTCCTGTTTATTTAAAGGATGGCAGCCCCCACTTCCTGAGCTTCTGGTGTGTGCCCTAGGATGGAGCCTCACGCTCTGAGGGTCCCCCTGAGTTTAATGCTGTCCTGTGGCTGGCTTGAAATTCTCCATAGTTTCTGAACAAGAGTCCCTGCGTTTTCACTTCCCCTGAGCTCCGCCAGTCTTAGAGCCAGGTGCACTGCTGGGTGCTATTCTTGCCTGGTTGCCTGCGTGGCTGGAGGCAGTGCTTGCCACATGGCAGTTAGGTGCTAAGTGGGATTGTACACTTCCGCGTGGGTGGTTCTTTGCTGCTTTATTAGACTCAGGATGGAATCACGCCTGTCTGGCAGGTCCACTCTGACGCCTCCTGCCCTTAGCCGCTGAATAGTTGTCTTGGTTATGGAGTTGATTGTCTTGCTATCACAGTGCTTGCATTTGAGCGACCTTTATTTTACTTAATAACGGCCTCAAAGTACAAGTGTGGTGATGATGATTCAGATATGACAAAGGGAAGCTGCAAAGCACCTCCTTTAAGTGTCAAGGAAAAATGTTTACTTAATAAAGAGAAACAGCATATTTGCTTCGCTAAGATCTAGAGGAAGAACTAACCATCCATCCATGAAATTATAAAGATGCAGAAGAGCACATGCTAATTTTGTTATCACACTTCAGACTGTGAAACTCACAGCCACGTGTGTGAAGAGGGCTTCATTAGAATGGAAAAAAAGTTACAGTTCTGTGTGCTTGTGTGGAATAATGGTACATACAGGCTTGGTACCACAGTGGCTTCAGGCATCCACTGTAGATCTTGGAATATATTCCTTCTTTAGAAAAAGATGTCTATATTTGTTTATATTAACATAAAATATTATTAAAATTGCTTTATAGTTAAAACAAGATTAACTTCCTGAAAGTAGGCAGCTTTTTGTGATACTGCAATTTCTAGCTTGTGTATTCTGGAGAGCTCAAAACAGGGATTGTCTTAATTGCTTTCCTTGTTGCTGGGACACACTTCCTGACACCCACAATTTAAAGCAGGAGAGGTTTTTAAAGGGTTCTGTCCAGAGTGGAAGAGCCCCGAGGCAGAGGAAAGCGCAGAAGCACAGCATGGAGGGGCAGGGTAGGGCAATGCACCTTCCTGTCCCACAGCCTCTGCCTCTAACCAGCCCGGCCTCAGGACAGCCGCGTCCAGCTGCTGCACCCGGTGGTCAGCCAAGGAGCACAGCACCCTACGATCCAGGCCCACCTCTGCACACGCGCCCTTTGGGGGACACTCGAGATCTCGGCCATGGCAGCAAGGTTTATGACCTTCCCTACCATCTCTTTCAGTGTCGGGGGCAGGTGTTCGCCGGATGGGTACAGCTGAGTTCCCTGGCACTCCCCAGCCTCCCCTTCTGTAATTACAGCAGTTAATTTTGACCAGAACTTGCAACCCTTGGTGTCCATTTCTCTGTAACAGAAAAAAGTCTGAAAGCAGTAATGATTCTGCAATTGCTTCTTTGTTTATTCTAATTTATGCCAGCTAGTGTTTACTAGACGTTTACCCCATGTAGCTCCTCACACGCAGCTCTTCCCCTCCTTCACAAAGGCACAGCCTCCTGGGGGTGCAGTGAGTACTTCGATGGTAACAGTGACTGTGATGCAGGAAGTGAAAGTTAGGAGGAGCCAGAATTTGCTCAGGCAGCAAAGAGGGAGGCTGAGCATGGAGGAGAGAGAGGCTGCAGGAACCAGGGGAGGCTCCTCCAGGCAGGAGCAGCAGTGCGGGTGCCCGGGTC